TTTCCTTATTGGTTTGTAGGAGTTCTTTATATATTCTGGATATTAATTCTTTGGGTTATATGGGTTCAAATAGCTTATCAAAAATCATACTGTCTGATAACATCAAAAGTTGACAAGTGTGTAAAAAAAAACAGAATTTTTACACATTGCTGGTGGGGGTGTAATCTGGTAAAACCACTCTGGAAAATCATTTGGAACTACCTATGTATTTGAAGGGTACATACCCTATGACCCACCAGTGTCACTCCTACATATACATCATAAAGAAACTTTTGGGAATGAAGAGTACAGGGTAGGGGATATAGTCAATAATATTGTAATGACTATGCATGGTGACAGGTGGGTACTGGAAATATTGGGGGAATCATTTTGTGAAGTATATGATTATCTAACCACTATGCTGTACACCTGAAACTAATACAAAATAATATTGAATGTTAAATTTAAAAAGAAACTTTTGAACAATTGTAAGAGGAAGTATATATTACGGTGTTCTTTAAACTATCATTTATAATGGGGAAAAACTGGAATAAATCCAAATATTCATCATGGATACTAAGTTGTGGGCATATTCATATAATGAAATACTTTACAGCCATGCAAATCAATACAATATAACCCACAATGACATGAAATAAATAGGTGCTTAATATTAGGTGAAAAAAAATCACAGAAAAATCATCTGGTATAAGGCTATTTAAATATAGGTTAAGATAGTCATGAAAATACATGTTGTTTATATAATAAAATCATAAAGAAAATCAAGGGTACAATAAACACAAGATTTAAGATGGTGATCATGTGACCTCTGGGAGGTAAGAAAGAGGATGAGACAGATAGAGGCAAATGGGGAACTTCAAGCTTATTGGTAATGTTCTTTATCTTAAACTGAATGATAGGCAGATGGGTGTTATTTGTTGATTTTTTAATAACTTATATGTAATTTATAATTTTTTTGTATATCAACATTGAATGGATATCTACTAATGTGAAGATACATATTTATTGAAATGATCATTACAAATTATATCATGTAGCAACATAGAAACATGCTTCTGATATGGTACTTAAAAATTAGAGTAGAACTTGTATATCAAAAGCTATGATTTCAACTACACACATGTTATAATTATAAGTGGATGAAAACTAAATATAAGCGAGAGAAAAGAAAAGACACTTGATTTTTTAGTTTAATTTTTCTTCTTTATTTCCATTAATGTGGTCATAATTCTGTGCCAATAATAAAATGATATAATTAAAACAGAAAATCGATGCTCTAAACAAATATTCATTAAAGTTATTGGGACCATATGCCAGACAACGAAGACACTACCCTTCTCAATTGCAAAGTATTCAAAGGAAAAAATCAATGTCATGATTGCTGCATTTGTGAATCTTGCTTTATGTAGCGACCAAAACACACCTCATCAGCCTTCTTCATCCATGTCACCTTTGACCATAATCCTGACAGCCACAGAAACGCGGTACCCTGACAGCTGAGAAAGGACACTGCCCCAAAACCTTTCCTAAGGCAAACTCTGCAACCCAATGACCTCATTTCGTGAAAGACAGAAGAGAAAGTTTATGACCAACTTACTCCTTGTTATCAAGAGACTAAGAAAGTGGAATATGATTTCAGAAAACTGCATCAGTTTCTATTTGATTTGCAGTCAAACCCATCTTTACTATTCTGCATTTAAGTAGCATGAATAATCCAAGGTCATCAGAAACACTTTATCTCAATCATATTACGAAATAATCTAAGTGTTTCCCAAAGAGATATTTAAAAAAGCTTGAGGAGCATTAATACTTACAGCTGTATCTGTCCAAATAGCTAAAGTTTGCAAAAACAAAATAGAAAATAAAGTACAAATGAGTGATGGTGTTTTAATGACTTTAAATCATAACTAAAGTGTTCATACCGTCAAACTTAGGAGAAAAAAATCACTACTGCTATATTGAAGTTAAGAATAAATTAGAGGCATGTAAAAGTCTGGAATAACAATATGCTATAAAAATTACTGATATAAAAATATGCCATTTAACAAATTTGATACTACAGAGACATAAAATTCTACATAGAGTCTGGAAGCAACCATGTGAACATAAGGGATAGCTGGGGTGATGCCAACATGGTTAATTCAGAAAGAAGCTCACATTTATAACTGGTTAGATTTAATTTCTGTTTTGAAGATAAATTACAATGCCAGAAATCTATATGCTTCAGAAATTTTTCTACTGGTATTTAAAGGCAAAAACTGGACAATATAAAAATATATTTTCAGTAAACATCTTCCCTCTACTCTCTCCCAAATCTCATGAACATCTCGGTTCACACAGATGGATGCACACACTCACACACATTTATATACACACCTCCAAATCTAGAATTTCAGTAATGAGTAATTCTTGGTTACCAATTACATACAATGCAATATATAGATTAAAAAACATTGTAATTGTTTAAAAACCAATTGTATAATTTTGGCGTTCAGAGATTTTTTAAAGAAATTGATTTAGAAAAAGTTGGAAAAGAAGCCCAAGCTGATTGACAGTTTGGAGTTTGTGTTTCCTCCATCTGATCATAGCCAAAATGCAAATATGATTAAGTTCTGAGAGACAGGAATCTGCAAAGTGTCTGCCGCTTACTAGCATCTTTCCTCTAGGTACCATCCCGCCAGGGCATGAAGGTTTCAAGGGTGGCTTTGTAGCTTGTTGCCTCACAAACCCCTTGGATTAGGAAAGGGAAAATAATCGTTATTCCATGCTCCAAATCTGATGCGGTGGTGGAGTCCGCAAGATAGGGTGTCGAGTTTATGTCTGAGATCAATGGGGAAAAGAACTGAAATGGACTGTTTGCCATGGGCACACAAGGAAAAAATGGTGGCAGAGGTGCCACGTGGTTACCATCTTTGCCTTAAACAAATTCTACAATCACCTACATCATTAGGAGATAAGACATGCACACATGTACACACCCTACAAGTGCATGTCCTTAGTCTATTAATAAAAATTGCATAAATATAAACCCATTTTGTATAATCATTCAACAAAGTCATTCAACAGTTCATTTAGAAAACCCATTTACAAACTGAATCATAATTATACGTACTACACATTGCTCTTGGTACCTGAAATATAGAATAAGAACTGACTCAGCCCTAGCCTGTTCGGCTCAGCGGATAGAGCATTCTGGTCAAGGGCATGTACCTTGGTCGCAGGCTCCTCCCTAGCCTGGGCCCTGGCCAGGGCTACTGCAGGAGGCAACCAATCAATGTGTTTCTCTCACATTGATGTTTCTCTCTGTCTTTCCCTCTCTCTTCCACTCTCCCTAAAAACCAATGGAAAAAGATCCTCAGGTGAGGATTAACAACAAGAAAAGAATAACTGGTTCATGCTCCCAACAAACTCACAAGCTAGACTACAAGATGTAAAAATCATCATCATACCCGATGCCAGTGGAGGGATGGACCAAGTATTAAGGAGACAGATCGGCATTTGTCAGGTGAGTTGGCCAAGGCCTTCCATTCATCAGTCAATAAACAGACAGGGTGTTTGAGTTGTGCCAGGATCTGTGCAAGTTACTGGGGATAGAAATAAATGCCAGGTCATACCCTCCAGGAGCTGTGATCTGGAGGTTTAGAGGCAGATGAGTTAGATCCCATAAAGAAACAGACTTGAATGGTAATAGGAGTTGGAACGGTAACAGGGATTGCAATTCAAATTACAAAAAGTTATTTTACAGAGTGAAGAATACCTTCGTAAATCACCCTCTTGGGAGTTCTCTTTCCACTGAGGATATAAAAAGCTGGTAACAGCTCAGTCCAACCTTAACAACAATAAAAAGCTGGATAGACTCATATTATAACTTCTTCTGAACCATCAGAGAGTTACAGTCCCCTGACAACCAAGGAGCCTAAATTTTCAGGAAAGGTGGGACTTTCCAAGGAGCCAGGAAAATGGAGGAAGCAACACTGGGTGCCATACTGGTGGCTAATAAGAATTCAGCTAAATTTTTAACTAATTACAAAAGATCTAGCTTTTGCCTTTCTCAATTCATGTCAGCTATACTGTAACTATTTAAAAATAATAAACTTGAATAGAAAGGCACCAGCTTATTTGGGCTCAGGAATCATTGTTTTTTTCAACCCTGGCAAGCCTTACATTTCTAGATTCTCTCTATTCCCTCTGTTTCTGCTCTCAAACCAGCTAATTCTTGCCTGAGCTCATCTCATTCCTGAAAGATGTTGCTATAAGCAGCAAGTAAAAGCCAATACACATTAACACTCTGGCTCTTTATAACAACCTCCCCTGGAGTACTCACATGAGAATCAAATAAGTCATCTTGTATTCACTGAACACACACACAAAAAGTCTTCAAGTGGTGAAAATGCTTATTGTGGGACTTCTACACTAATTCATAAACCTCTGTATACCTAAGAATCTTAACCCATTTCTATTTTAAAACCATTACAACACTTAGAAAAGAAAACAGGACTAGAAACAGAATAGATTCCAGAAAGAAACCTATACACATACAGTCAAATGACTTTTGATAAGGCGCCAAAGCAATTTAGTGAAAAAAAGTGAAATTTCTTCAACAACTGGATTAGAATAACTGGATATCCATAGCGAAAGAGAGAGGAGAGAGGAGAGGAGAGGGGAAGGAAGGGGGAGGAGAGGGGAAGGGAGTGAAGGGGAGGAGACAGGAGGTGAAGGGAGGGGAGGGGAGGAGATGGGGGAGGGGAGGAGGGGAGAGGGGAG